TGTGATGTCAGGAAGGGGCATTGTGATGACACATTGATGGACTGTTATGAGACACTGAGCAGTGGGATGGCACATGTGAACATTAGACACATTAGACACATTAGAGGAGAGTGATGGAACATTCACCATTGTGATGACAAACTGGGGCAGGGGCACTGTGATGGCACACTGAGCACTGTGATGTCACAATGGAGCATTGTGATGCATACTGGAGCATTGTGATGTCACAATTGAACATTGTGAAGTCATATTTTAACATTGTGATGGCACCATGGAGCACTGTTAGATCACAATGGAGCATTGTGATGTCATAAGGTAACACTGTAATGGCAGCATAGAGCATTGTGATGGCATATGGAGCGATAGAGTTCGAAAATTGGAGCTGTGAGATGTCATATTGGAGCATTGTGATGTCACAATGTGTGAAGGCCCGAGCTCTGATCTGATGTACATTCAGAATAAGTTCTGACCTGAAATAAACTCAGACCTGGACCGGGAAACTTCAGTTCCCTGAGAACTTGGATGTTCTTCTGCAGTGATTTCTATCAAAGACTAACAGTTCCTTGAACCCTATTAAACGTACATAAGTGAGCTTGTATAATGAAACTACAAAGATAGATAAGATCCCAGAAAAGGGCTGAGCCCTTGGAACTTGAAGATATTGTAAAGGTCAGGAAAGTACTGCAAATGTCAGAATGAGATAAGTTGGCTAGAGAAGAACATTTCCTTTTTCTCTTGTTGTACTATAAATCAGGTTGATTCTTAGAATAAAGCATGCATTGGTTCACACGCCTCTGCATCCCCTGCATCCTGATTTCTTCTGCACCTATACCTCAGGGTCCCCAAGCCCTTCAGGCTTGAATTGTGGTCACTGACCAGTGACACCTCCTATTATAGAAATAAACTAGATATTAAGTCATGATATAATACGTTATGATGACAATTTCATTTAATTGGTTAGCGATATTTGTACCTATGTTAATGAATAACATTATACCAAATCCTTATTTTATTGAAATTTACTTCCCTGGCATTTGTAGTAGTTATTCTGGCCTTGAAAATAAATGGAAAGTTTTTATTCTTCATTTCAAGGAAGATTTAAATTTGAGTCTTGAAATAATCAAATTTTATTCATAAAACTTTACCAAGAGATAGTTGCAAATATTTTATTGTAATTACAATAGCATTCTCTTAAATTTATGTTTACAGATGAATTCATCATCTTTATGCAGCTAATATGAAAAATGCATTGCTTTTTCCATTTTATGAACAGTCCAGCATCCTCTTATCTGTAATATGAACCTTCTTAATATAAATGCTTTTGACATGATTTTATTTATATATTATATATTTATATATAGTATATGTATGAATTTATTCTTATATAAATTTTATGCAAATTTAATTATTAATTTTAATTTATTGTTTCACAGTTGCTTAAA